GGAAGCGGGCGGGCAGCGTGGGTGCCGGCGAGCAGTTTATCAGATACGTGCTGCAGGACCCCATCTGGCTGCTCATGGCCAACAGTGATGAGAAGGTCATGCTGACCTACCAGCTGCCCTCCCGGTGAGAGCCACGTACGGATGGGGGTGGGGAGCAGGGCTCCTCCCCCCCTCCCCCAAACCTGAGCCTTGCAGGGCACAGTCTGGAGGCCCTGGTTTGAGCTTGTGTCCAGCTGGTGAGGGGGGAAAGGGAGGTCAGGCAGCTGACATGGGGGCCTGCACCCCTGGGGAGCAGATGGTCTGAGGATGGGGAGAGCAGAGCTGGGGGCAGATGTGGGTCAGGGTGAGGGGGGAGTACAGCTGGGGGACAGAAGTGGGATAGGGTGATCAGGGCAGGTGCCAAATGGTGGAGGAGCAGCAGCGGGGGCTGGCAACTGGGCAGCAGAGCTGGGGGGGCGGATGTGGGGTGGGCTGCACTGTTCCCTGTAAGCTGGGTGCTTGTGCAGCCTCTTAGGAGGGATTCCAATGTCACCCAGCTGATTAGCAGAGTGCCTACAGCTTGTGTTTTTGTTTCTCTTGTTGGTGCACATTTCCCCCATCCTCAGTGCACATAGAAAAACTTATTCCACACATGAATGGAAAAAAATCTGCTCATGGATGGATAAGATTAGAGGGAACATTGATGGGCTGCAGGGCAGAGATCGGGCAGCAGAGCAGGGGGACGGATGTGGGGCAAGTGGGGGGATGGCTCAGCCCAGCTACCTTGACACGGGTCTGTGCCCCACAGCCCCATGGCCGCCGTGCTCCAGGAGGATCGGGAGAAGCTGAAGCAGATGCAGAAGCAGCAGCCGCGCTTCACGGAGGAGCAGAAGAGGGAGTTGGCCGAGGTGCACCCGTGGATGAAAAAGGGGCTGCTGCCCAAAGCCATCAACATCAGGGTGAGCAGTGGGCAGGGCCCAGGGCTGGGATCTGGCCAGCTCCTTGTGTACTGTGTGCAGGGGTTCCCAGGGCTCCACTTACCTGCCTCCCTCCCTTTTCCCCCCCCAAGGCCTGCGTGGACTGCGGCAGTAACCCAGCCTCCCGTGTGGCACCACTCTACGATGTGGAGCTGCCCGACATGGACCTGAGCACCATGCTGGAGCCCATGGAGGAGGGCAGTGGCGCCCCCCCGTGCCCGGACATGGCCATGGAGGAGGAGGAGGCTGAGCAGCCGGCCCAGCCCGAAGGGGGCACTGAGAACACTGGCTAAACTAAACCCCTGCCAGCCTTGTCATGGACTCCTCAGGCAGCATCAGCTGCCAGCCTCGGAGCCGGGCACCATGCTGGATGGACCAGAAGTGCCGGCCCGGCTTTGGCCCTGGGTCAGCCAAGTCGGGCCCTGCCCTGCCATGGGCACCCCGGGAGGCCAGGCCAGGCCCCCCCTGCGCGGGGCGGAGTATTTATTTTTGGAAGGTATTTTTTGTACAAAATGGCGCGCGGGACAATAAACCGCGACTGTCTGACCCCAGCGAGTGGTAACATCCTAGCGAGCTCCGGGATGTTCTCATGGAGCCAGGTCCTCCCACTGCTGGGATTGCCCTGGCCTACTGCCCATGGAGGGACCGTGCCCCCAACCCCAGTCTCTGCCTTAACCACCAGCCCCCATGCACCTTCTAGTGCCAGAGAGAACCCAGGAGTCCTGGCTCCCAGCCCCTCCCTCCACCATTCACACCCTGCTCCTCTCAATCCCTGATCCTCCTGCTGCAACTGCCCCTGCCTGGTGTCCTGGCCTGAGGTCCGCCTGGGCCTAGGCGCTGGAGCATGTCTCATTCCCCACCTGCGGCTCTTCTGTTTGCACGAAGGTCCGGCCCCGCTGCCGTGCTGCCCTCGGCCTTCCTGCACTCCCAGTGGCTCAGGCCCCATTTTGCTCCCAGGCTGTGCCCGTGGTGCTGCCCACTCAGAGCGGGTGGGAGCTGTGCTGGCTGAGATGCGCCAATCCCCTCTGTGTGGGGCGCTAGCCCTGCTGTAGCAGGATCCCACCCACTGATGCCCTATTTGCAGCATAGCCCAGGGGAGGCGTGATCCCTTCGGTGTATGCCCTCCCGCTGGTGCACTGTGGCCCCACAGGCTACGCTGCCCCTAGGGGAGTCCGTGTTGGAGCAGAGCTGCTCTTCTACTGCAAGCAGGCTCCAAGGCGACCGCTGCTGGGGGTGCACCCAAGGGCTCTGAGTCCATTTCAAGGGTGGAGGCACTGGGGCCCCCCTGTGGAAGTGATGGGGTGGCTCAGTGCTCAGGTGGGAGCAGACAGCAGCCTCCACTGGTCCTCCAGGAGCTGGAGCCAGCCTGCCTCTGCCAGGAAATCCTGTGACTTCTGAACCATCCAAGGCACGTCCCGCTGGGCCTAGCGCATTTTCCATCTCCTGTGACTTTTTTCCCCCCTCAAGCTGGGCCTTTCAGAGAAAAGTCAGGCTGGCATATGGAAGACAGGGCCACGCAGAGCCCAGCTGGGGCAGGAGGGGATGCTGGGTCATTGCTCTGCAGGGCTGTGGGAGAGGGGGTGCTAGTGCATGGAGAGAGGGGGCAGGTCTAGGGCCAGGAGACGGAGCAGCCCCTGACTGCTGAGGGCCTGAGCCCAGCACTGAGAGAAGGGGGAGCTGCCCCTCCTGACACCTGCTGCCTGCGTAGGCTGAGCACCTGGAACTCCCGCTGGCTGTGTCAGGGCTGCATTTACAGCTGGTGCTTCGAGCCAGGACCTGGACATTCACCTCCCCTTGCTGGTAACCCAGGGGGGCCAGGCCCCCTCTTACCCCCATTCCCAGGGTCTCTCCCTACTGCGGCGGCCCCCACACCAGCCCAGCTGCTGCTTCCTTCCCTGAGCAATGTTGGCAAGCCCTGGGGGGATGCCTGCAGTCCCCCCACCCCCTCCCTGCTCCTGGCCCTGGTTTTGGGGTGGGGGAAACCTTCCCCCCCCCCACTGGGGCTTTGAATCCACATTGATCTTTTGGAGCACTTGACAGAGGAGGGACCCCTCTGGCCTGAGCTCCGTGTGGGAGGGGTGGTGTGGTAACATGCTGCTTTCTGGTTTCTCCTGCTGAGGGTGGGATGGCTGACCCCTACTGGGGGCTAGGGCTCACCTCCCACCCCCACAAATTCCAGCTGGTGCCATGGGTATCACTGGGGCTTTGAATCCACATTGATCTTTTGGAGCACTTGACAGAGGAGGGACCCCTCTGGCCTGAGCTCCGTGTGGGAGGGGTGGTGTGGTAACATGCTGCTTTCTGGTTTCTCCTGCTGAGGGTGGGATGGCTGACCCCTACTGGGGGCTAGGGCTCACCTCCCACCCCCACAAATTCCAGCTGGTGCCATGGGTATCACTAGCTCCTTTACCACCTCTGCTCTCCTAGGTTACCTCACTGGCATGGGCACCCCCTCTGCCACCCCCCCCCCCCCCCCCCCCCCGCCCGCCCGCCCACCGACGCCCCCCCCCGCCCTGCCGTGCCCCCAGGGAGCTGAGCGTTTCTGGGTGAAACCTAGGAACCAGGTTTGACGGGCTCTGGCCATTGACTGCTGGCTGTTTGCTCCAGTCCCACAGGCCACTGACTTTTGGGGTGGGTGTTTCTCCCAGGCCACCCACTGTTCCTTGTTAGCCTGGCCCCAGTGCTCCCTGGGCCTCAGCTCTAGTGTGTATTAGCTGGCTACCTCCCTCAGTGTCCCCAGTGTCATGGGAATGGGGAAACTGAGTCATAAAACTTCATGTGGTGGGGACAGAGCACTCAGTCTGCAGGCAGGCCACCCGAGTGTGCCCTAGTTTGCCCTGGGGTGGATCTGAGACAGCCACTCAGCTATGATCTGCCAGAGCCATTCCCTGCCTGGGCAAAGGGCACCATAGGGGATGCTTATATGGTTCCCCACCTGCCCCAGCCCTTTCTGGTGCCCATCATCCCCATAGTGGGGTATCTCCCAATCATTAATGGCTTTCCTTCCACCACCTCCTACACTTGTGGGAGCCGGGCAAGGCTATAAGCACCCATGTATGGTTTGAGAAACAGGCATGACACCGAGCCAGACGGGAATGGAACTTGGGTACCTTAAAGCTCTATGGTGTGGGCCATGACTGTCCATCCTCTTCCCATAGCTCCAACCCCATCTGTTCCCCTTGTCTGTCTCCATGCCAGAGCTCTATCTAGTTCCCCACCCATCACCTCCCTGCCTGTCCCTCTACCCATCTCTCCATCCCCTCTGCCTGGCCTGTACCCCCACAAGCCCTCTGCCTGTCTCCCGAATCCAGCTCTACAGCCTGTACCTGGCCCCACCGTGACCCTGTTGTAGCTGAACCTGGCTGTAGCCTGCCCTTGTGGAGAGGTGGACAAGATTGGGGGTGGGGAGATCGTATCTTGGATTGGCTCCTGATCCATGGATTGGCTCCTGATCCAAGCCTTGGCCGAGGTTTTATGGCGCATGGGTGACTTATTGGTTATCGATGTTCCTTTCCATCTACAAGTGACATGGGCCCCATCACCCAGCAGCAACCCCTGCTTGCTCCCCCTCTTCTTAGTGGCAAATATTTCCACAGGCCAGCGCTGGGGAGGGCTCTGAAGCTATGTCTACACTGCAATGCTATGTCGGGATACCAGAATAGTTATAATGTGTCTTGACACCAAGCCCATTATTTCAGGCTCGCTATTCTGACGTCCCTGTAGCCCCCGTTCCATGAGGCATGATGGATGTTTCAGAATAGTGCTTTATTTCAAAATTCGGTGCCAAATTACGAAATAAGAGACACCATTTGAGCTACGCAAATAGCATATCTTAATTCAAGTTACAGTGTAGACGTGGCCTGAGTTACTGCAGAGAGTCCAGCCTCCTAGTCTGGTGGGTCTTGCCCAAGTGCCTGAGGTCTAACTGACCCCCGGATGTGGGGTCAGGGCCCTGGGGAGGTTCATCTTCCACAGCATGGGGCAGAGAGCCAAGGCCCTTTCTACTTTTACAGGCCTTACAGGTGAGGGGGCAGGGGCAGAGAGGACCAAGAGAGGGAGGAATCTTGGGGGAAGGAGTAGCACAAGGGTGGGGCCTCAGAGGACTGGGGGGTGAGGAAGCAGCACCTTGGAGGAATGGCACCTGTGTGGCTCCGTTTGGCACTGCCCACTGGGCTGTGAAAAGTTCTGCAGGGGTCAGATTTGGGACTTGTTCTTCATCAGTTATTTAGCTAATGGCACAGGGAGCGCACTTACACAGTTTGGACAATATCAAGCCGGGAGGCGTTGCAAGCACTTTAGAGGATAGGATTAAGATTCAAAGTGATCTAGGCAAATGAGAAATGGACTGGGGTAAATAGGATGAAGTTCAATCAGGACAAATGCCGAGGGCTCTACTTAGGGCTGAACGATCAGTTGCGCACACACAGTCATTTCCCATTTCATCTAAGGAGTGCAGAGGAAAGGAGACTGAGTCATAGAGGACCACAAGCTAACTATGAGTCAGCATGACACTTGCAAAAAGGCAAATGTCATTCTGCGATGTATTAGCAGGAGTGTGGTAAGGAAGACCCAAGGGCTACATCTACACTGCAGGCTTTTTGTGCAAGAATGACCATTCTTCACAAAAACTTGCGGCGCGTCTACACTGCACGTGTGTTCTTGCGCAAGTAAATTTACAGTAAGGTGTCCGAACAGAGGGCTTATTGCGCAAGAGTTATTCCTTTCCCCATGAGGAATAAGCCCTCTTGTGCAAGAGCTCTTGCGGAAGAAGGCAGTGTGGACGGGCAACGGGTTTCTTGTGCAAGAAATCTCTATTGCTAAAATGGCCACCAGAGCTTTCTTGCGCAAGAGAGCATCCACACTGCCATGGACACTCTTGCGCAAAAGCACACGGCAGTGTGGACATACTCTTGCACAAAAGTTCTTGCACAAAACAGTTCTTGCGCAGAAGCCTGCAATGTAGACGTAGCCAAGAAGTAATTCTTCTGCTTGATTCGGTGCTGGTTAGGCCTCAACTGGAATACTGTATCCAGTTCTGGGTGCCATTTCAGGAAAGATGGGCACAGGCTGGAAAAAATCCAGAGAAGAGCAACAAAAATGATTAAAGGTCTAGAAAACATGAGCTATGAGGGAAGACTGAAAGAACTGGGTTTCTTGAGTCTGGAAAAGAGAAGACCAGGGGATGACAACAGCTTTCAATTACCTAAAAAGGTTTTACAAGGACAAGTGAGAAAAGTTCTTCTCTTTATCCTCTGAGGCTAGGACAAGAAGCAATGGGCCTAAATTGCAGCCAGGGAGGCTTAGGATGGACAGCAGGAAAAGCTTCCTAATTGCAGGGTGGTTAAGCACTGGAATAAATAGCCCCAGGAGGTTGTGGAATCTCCTTCGTTGAAGATATTTAAGCACAGGTTAGAGACACACCTGTCAAAGATGGTGCGTGGTCGGCCGTGACCACAGGGGACAGGATGTGATAACCTCTCAAGGTCCCTTCCCGTTCTATGGTTCTACGTCCAGTGAGCGGAGCAGCAGAGCTAAAACGGCTTCCTGCCTG